ACATAAGGCGCACCGGACTAAAAGGCGCAGTCTCAGTTATGTGTCCCATTTCTGTGTTTAACACACACATAAGGCGCACCGGACTATAGGGCGCGTTTTTTATATACAGGTAAATGTCCTCTACTACCTTTAAATACCTCTACTGCGTATTTAAAAATAAAGCACAGTCATACTCAGTTTTGCCCCCGCTGTATTTTTAAATACGCAGTAGAGGTATTTAAAGGTAGTAGAGGACATTTACCTGTATATAAAAAACGCGCCCTATAGTCCGGTGCGCCTTATGTGTGTGTTAAATACAGAAATGGGACACATAACTGAGACTGCGCCTTTTAGTCCGGTGCGCCTTATGGTCGTGAAAATACGGTAAGTATTTTCTGTTTTCCTCTTGGGAATGAACTAGACAGCTTAAACATATTGGAATATCTCTTTGGAGTTTAAAGGGGATCCACATTGAGTTATTGTTTTAAGCCAACAGACTGGGTGGTAAAAGTGTTAAACGTTTCTAAAGGGATTGTAGATGAGTCAAATTGAACACAGCAATGTCTTGGAAGGGTCATAAAATATCAGGTTAATTTTCTAATGAGGCTGACCTGGTAAATGAGAGCTAGTTCTAAATCATCTAACCGGGATGAAAAGGGTTAAATGACATTAAACTGTAATCTGCTAAATTAGATTTTTAATGGTAGGAATAGGTTGTTGTTTTTTTTAACCTAAGCCTACTTTAACTTTCTTTAAGTTGTTTTGTTATTGAAATGTGCTATATAAAAAATGCATTAATGTTTTTGAAACTAAGTTTTATCTGGAGGCCAGGCTGGGGCCAGGCAGGGGCCAGGCTGGGGCCAGGCTGGGGCCAGGGTGGGGCCAGGCTGGGGCTAAAAAAAACTTTAAAAATAAAAATTTGCCCCAAGGAAGCTTTCAGTCGCACTATGGGCATTATCACAATAAAGGAATCTACTACTATGTCTATAGCACCGTTTTAGGCCAACGCCTCTAATTTTAACAGAATTGCTGCAATTATGTTGAGATTAGATCAGATTACAAGTCAGATTAGTCTTTCTAGTAATTATAATACTTAGTAATTACTTCTAAAGGCCGTTGGAAACATCCTGGCTAAAAAATAAATACAGGAAGTTATTTTATAATTGTCTCCACATTTAATATTTACCTACTTTCTCCTGATTATTAAACTTCCATATAAACACACTGACAAATATGTTAATTTTAAGGGCTGCTATTGCGTAAATAAATACCTTTATCAGGGCTGATTGGTCTCACTCTTTTACTCCCAAACTTGTGGATGCCAGCTTGATCTTGAGCTCCAGAGAATGTAAGAAATAGATGTGGACCTTCATCGGTTTCTGAGAAGAAAACAAAAAAGTAAATAATAGGTGATATTTAAATCTTAGATACTAACTGAGAAATATTATTTAGAACAGTAGCACAGCACAAGTGAACTCCCTTAGAACCAAACCAAGAAAAACGGAACAGATGTTAAACACTTAGAGCTACTCTTAGAATCAGGAGAAGAAATGTTCTTAAGAGGTTTTAAATCTAGCAGCATGGGGTCCACACCATGACAAAAGCAGGAACAGACCAAAAATTAAATAAAAAGAATTAGAAAACTCACCAACAAAAGCAGAATGTTCATCTGCCTTTAAAGCATTTCCATTTAAATTTATCCGAGTTCTGGAAATGCATGTGAGTGAGTTGTTTGACAGATCCTGTAAAAAACAAGAAAAAAACAAAACAAATCAACTCTGTAAAATAATGTGGTTTATATCCCTTAGGCCTGCAGTCGCTGAACAAAACAGAGGAACTGCACTTATTTCAGTTTTTTTTTTTGGAGAACAGAGCATTCCTGCATATGATTTGCTTTTTTTCACCTGGATGTAAAACAACAACAGTTCTTGTTAAAACATCTGTGAATTCCTACCATTTCACAGCACCTCCTTTCATTCCCATTCCCACACACAATCAGTGGCTTCCCTTCTTCCCTCTGATGGACCAAAATGATGTAGGAGTTCTAAAAATCAAAGAATTTAATAAGAACAGTGGAAAGGACAACAGATGGTGTTGATGTTACTGTGATTCTCACATTGCCAGTCAATTCTTTCAAATCCACCTTCTTTTCCACCTGTGGAGAAACACAGAGGACTTTTACTTAGATTATAATGATAGTAAAATTCTGGAGCTGTTTAATGTTCTCAGTTTCATTTAGATTAAATTGAGCCCCACCGATGTCACAGTCTTGCCCATTTTGTATAAAACCACAGAAGTCTTTCCAAAAGACACAACAGTATCCGGCTGTCCTTCCAGAAGCATCACACCCGGCAAATGTTGTTCAGGTAACGAAAGGTTTTTAACCTCAGACTCTGCAATTAAAGACAGATAGGGGGTAAAATTAGCCGTATGCATATCTGCAGCCATTCCTTTTATTCTATTTTAACAAATACTAAAAACCAGGCTTTTTATGTGGAATGGATATGAGCATTTACTAACATTTTAAGTTTTGTTTATGTCACATAATCCCTCAAACCTGCAGACTCTGTCAAATTATGATCATGAGCTTCATTTTGACTAAAAAAAAACATTTATACATGCATTTACCTTATCAGGTAAATTTGGGACACGAGCCTTTACCAGAGAACATGTGACCTTCCCACAATGATTTTTAATGATGTGACACATTTAGTTTTTTGTTACAGGTAATGGTGTTGACTTTTTGGTGACCAAAATGTTACGATTTTGAAGGAAGCCTCTGTTGTTCAAATGGAAAAACCATCAACGAACAGAAGTGGGGAGATTGCGGAGAACACAGGGTCCTAAAAATGTCTCTAGAAATCTGTTGTCCCTCAATGGTTAAAGTCAAAAACTGTCTTCATTTCCACATAACATCACCTGGCACCCAATTCTTATTGTTATTTTTCTTTTTTTCTCTTTTTTTTTTAAAGAAGGATTTAAATGAGCTTTTTGTTGTTTTTTCTTACTTTTGTCTAAAATGTTAAAAACTAGTGGTGATCACTTTTTAAGTTCAAATTTATGTCTGATTGAAATGTAAATACTCTTTTCTTTACAAATGCATTTCATAATCGTAAAACGCATGTCAATTATTAATGTTATGGGATGTAAATACAAACACCCATATAAAAAAATAACAAATGTAAAAATACTCCCAAATTTAATCTATGGAGGTTCTGAAGTCTTACCTTTGGCTGTAAACACCATCCTAGGAGAATGCAAGGTCCCTTCAGTCAAACAACAAACGAATAAATTAAATACATTCAGCAGCATTAAAGGCCGCATGTTGTCAATGCAGACGCTGAACAGATGCAGTGGATCTTATCCTCCCTCTAAAATAAGACTCATTGACACTTCCTAGTCCTGAATAGACCAATGAAATACAAGCATGTAGGCTATGTGCGAAGTTTTATGCACGTTTTAAAACCAAGAGGAGTTTAAAAAACAAAACAAAATAACAATTATTCTACAACTGAGCTAATTTCCACCAAAAACCGTCACTAAGTCTATGTAGAGGAAATGTAAAACCTATTCACTTTAAACCTTTAAATCTGACGTCTGATCATGGAAATTAAACACTAGCGCCATCTGCTGGCGGATGAAAGATATACGTGGCTGTTACTTTATTTCTGAATGGATAGAATAATAAAGCAGCAGGTGAGGATAATTACTCTTACCTTACCTTTGTAAACTAGTTTGACTTCAGTTATAGATACTGTCACTTTATTAAATACACAAGTAGGTCCATAAAAACACAATTATTACTCATATTACTGAGAAGTAGTGATACTCTAAACTGAATAAAATGTCAGGTTGCTCTACCCACCATGAGTAACTCCAGCAAACAATGAACTGAAATGTTCTAACCAGTAACTCAGCAGCCAGATACATTACAGGGAGGTAAAGCGACATTTTTCATTTGAATAAGATCTTTGTTGTTTTAATGTTATTTTCTGCCAGGCTTTTAGAGATCAAGTGAGTGTGCTTTATCAAATATGAATTACATGCCATAAATAATGGTTTCATAAGGCAAAATAAATCTGTCAAAGACACAAATTCAAAGAAAGAATAAAAAAATCTAAAAAGAAATAATGAGGAAATCCATCCATCCATTTTTCATCACACTTATCCCCAGCAGGGTGCTGGTGCCTATCTCCATCTCTCTATAAGGGAGAGACACTCTGGACAGGTCGCCAGTCCATAAAAACAGACCCATGACACAAACACTGTATGTCCGTTTGACGAGGATCTTATTAAATAATGATCGGCACTTTTTCACCGAGAATTAAATATTTACGGGGAGAGGATTCTGCAACTCAGATGACAGGATATAAGATTACTTGTTTTTGGTTTGTTTAATATGAGCGATATATGGATCCTTTTTTTTCTAATTCTGTTATAGTTACAGTACATGAAGAACTACTCAAATTATTTTCAGATTTCACAGAAATAGATTCACTAATTCTTTGAGGGAAAATTAATTATTTTAGGGTTAGGATTAGGATTCACTCAATGATAACAACCTACTGAGCCTACTGGTATACTCTGAAGGCATTCTATGGGACTGATAGCTGCTTATAACGGCCATTTATTGGGATGATAACGTCCGGAATACAGCTGCAAAGAACCCCTTATTTACTGTGTAAAAGAAGACTGAAGAACATGAGGAGGGACACAGGAGATTCACAGGTTTTATATATTAGAACAAAGTTCTTTGACTTCATTTTCACCTGCAGATTTCCACCAGAAGATTTCACCTAAATAGATATATTGATCTACTACCATTCAAGAAATAATCCCGTAATACAACAGCTGTGGCAAGCCATTTTGATATGTACTAGTTTTACTGAATATGTATTCCTGATATCTGGAAAAAAGAAAGTCTTTGTCTAAATGACCATTTCAAACAAAATGACATTCTTCACATTTAGAATAAACATTCTGGATGTCTATAGATTCCATATTTCTAATATTACTGGTCAGCATTAGTATTATTTTAACTATGAAAAATGCTTTTCAAATATATAAATTTTCAGTTAGGCTGATAAATGTCAGAACAGCCAATTAAAATGTGTAAACATTTATAGATAAATAAAACTTAATTCTTAATAGTATATATATTTTTTTCACTTTCTAAAATTTATATCCTCTACAAAAATGTAACTTATTATTACAGTTAGGTCTAGGAGTTGTATTTTGATCAGGAAAAATCTTATTTTGGCGATCCACAAATGGAAAAACAGTGAGGAGAGTGCTTTTAATAAAAAACTCAAGCGACACTAGGAGTTCCCGACATTTGGCTAGTTTATTTAGAGTTTCAGATTTGAATATAAATTTGTTTATGAACAATATAGAGCCAAATCTTTCAGTACTTTACAGAAGGGGAGGTTCAGTTAACCTTCATAAGAGCAAAAAATTCAGGTACTCCAAACAAGCTGCCAGACAAGGTGGAAACAAATAAGTTATATGAATCTGAGCGATCAATTCTACAAATACAAATATTATCTAATTATTTATGTATTTAGTATAAATATAGTTAAATTAATATGATGCATTAATCTTGAGTTTAATAAAAAAAAAATCCAAATATATATTCCTTACTGCTGGCATGTGGGTTCTGCATTTAACCCCTCCCCTTGCAGCAGGGCTGTCTCTCTCCCCCCTTGGGGAGCAGTGGGCTGCCATCGTGGGGTAACTGGGGAGCAGTGTGGGGTTAAGGGTCTTGCTCAGAGACCCAGAGTGGCAGTCTCTGGAAGTTGGGCTCAAACTCTGAACCTTCCAAGCTCTATGCCCTAACCACTAGGCCGCCACTCCCCATTAAGCATTATCGCTTTCGCCATATTGCTCTCTTTGATTTATATATGTAAATAGTTTTATTATGATTTATGTAGGGAATAATTCATTTCTATGTGGACAAAAAGGGACAAAAGGTAAAAGAGAAGAAAGAAGGGAGATATTGACAAAACTTCATCAGATTTTAAGATTTTATCTTTGATATAAGTTCTAATAGTCACACAAACAAATGAGTTCTCAGAATAATAAAACATATAGAATAGAATTCAACTTTATTGTTATTACACTGTCACAAATACAAAGCATGAAATGTAGTTTGCATCAATCCAGGAGTGCTGTACAGGATAGAAATATTTATTTACATGTGTACAGAAATTATCTATGTGTGGACTATAAATTGTATATATAAACATAGAGCAATTGTAAGAGGCTATAAAAAATAAATATGGAAGCCATATACAGATTATACAAGAAAGTTAGAATATGGATTTTTATATATATATATATCTATATATATATAGATATATATATATACATGCTGACTGTAACATGTCAGAGGATGGCTCGCTTGGTGGAGTGGTCCATAAAATCTGTCCTACCATGATGAGACTCCAACACAAACTCTAAAGGCTGGCAGAAAAAAACCAAACAGCCAGTCTGACCCAAACACTCTGTCTCTATCTGGAAATCGGCTCCCCACTGGTCTTGAGAGGCCTTAATCTACTCAATTCTCCCATGATGAAATGTAAATATGAGGCTGTGCCCTATGCCCCCCTCCCTCTCCTGAAGACATCTCTGAAGCTGCTTTCTTGGTCGGCTGAGAAACTGTTACATCTGTCAAGGACATTGACCCACAGCTTCATGGACTTACTTCACACACACAATGCCCAGATATAATAAACACACCTCTAATCCTTCTCGATGTTCCTGCAAGATGTCACATTATCTTTGTCTTTGTCACATTATCTTTTTATTATATTGTCTGTGTGTTTTGTCTTTTCTTGGATGCACCAAAACTGAAATTTCGTCCTACTGAAATGACACTCCAGGGTGACAAATGAAGAACTTTTGACCTTGATAACAGCTTAAAAGTAATTAATACCTGAAATTAAGTTGAAAAAAAAAGGGGTATGTTATGTAATGGCCAACGCACTCATAGGGAAGAAAGTTGTAACAATCTTCATGGAGCATAAGCCAAGACAGAACATTGGTAGAGAAGAATCCTGGTATATTTATCGAAAGTTGAGTGGAAGGAAAAAGTGCATCAGAAACTGGTTTCGAATTATTGTAAAGAAAATGTGTTTTTTTATATTTTCACAGGAAGTGGACTGAGGCTGGAGTCGGCACGCTCAGACAAATACTAAACAGAAGCGTCTCTCCTTCATGCTCCACAGCAGAACCAAGCTTAGAGAATAGAAATGCACCATCCTTCTCAGAAGCATTGTGCTTTTAAATATATATTTTCAATTATCCTATGTGGTTTAGTGAAACACTGAACTTGGATTTGTTTTTACAAACCACAGCAATCAAAATTACAACAATGGCTTGAAATGTTTGTGTGTATGCTTTTTGAAATAATATATATTTTTAAATATATCTAAGAATGTCAAACTGACCAGTGAATGGAGAATTGTTGCTACTGATTCAGTCAAACTATCATCAATAAGAGCAGCTCTGTCACTCAGAGAGGAGTGCAGGATGAGAAGATTCAGCAATGATGAGATTGTTAATAATAATTGAATTTTATTAATCTCCCATTGGAGAAATTGATCTCTTCATTTAACCCATCCCCTTGGGGAGCACTGGGCTGCCATTGTGCGACGCCCGGGGAGCAGTGTGAGGTTTAGGGTCTTGTTCAGAGAACCAAAGTGGCAGACTGTGGGAGTGGGGCTCAATCTCAGAACCTCAGGATACTAAACTCTATACTCTAACCACTAGGCCGCCACTTCCTCCAATTCACAATCTTTGTGAATCCTCTTTTTCGCATTAATCCTCTTTATCTTTAGACAGTAATAATATCTCCAGGAATCATTAATTAAGAGCTGGAAAGTTCCCGGTATCTCAGAGTGATTCAGAGGCACACATGATGAACT